CTTGGGGTATCTCCTGTCTGGCATTGTTTCTTGTTATGTAGCCTTTAGCTATACATATGGACTCTTAAAAAATTATATTAGCCCCTTTAATCTTTGGTTATACTTTCCTTTTGAGTGTTTAAGACCCTATACCTAGAGTTGGCCCAGATAAACCAATTTCTTTTTACTCTTAAGGTCGTTTGAGGATCTGTTCCTCAGGGGTCACATGGGCTTGGGAGGAGCCCCTGGCTCCTTTTACCAGTTCTGCCTATGTGAAGATAAGTCAAATGTCCTGCTCGACCATGGCTGGCTTCTCTTGGAAGCATGGAGGAAATGTTTGCTCTTTTGACCCTCCTCTTTGTAGACTGGACACTGGTTCAAGTCCATCTCATGGGGTCTGCTGCTTTTCCTCCTTGATCAAGAGGACAGGTGACCCACCACAACTACAGGACATTTTGAGAGATGCTCATAGTCCCCTGGAACTTAGTCAACCTAGGAGGGCAAGGAGCAAAAACTGTCCTTTATGTCCCTTTGACCAAATTAATGTAGGCCTCAAAGAATGCCTGTTAAACATCCAAGACGGTTAGTTCCACCAGTCTGGTACTTTCAGTTACCATGTGCCATGTCGATAGAGCTTGGGCAAAGACCAAATGCTCTCCAATAAACCTTGCCTAAAGATATATTACATTCTTTGATATGGTTGTATGTATAATTTTTCAGTAGGTTGTTGGCCTAATATGGTTCCCTCTGGTTTTCTAAAACTAGCTAGGCATTATTTCTCACATTGTCTAACCCTTCCACCATGGTTTCCCCATTTAAGGTGCTCTCATTTTTCCCATTTCTCCCTTAATAATACCCTTCTTCTATGGTGCCCCCTCTCTTGAGCCCCTTCTTTCCCTTTATCCCCTAGGTTCCTTGTGTAACCTTCCCTCCCCCCTCCCCTTAAAATAACCCCATTTTTATCCATATCTCAAAACACCTGTTTTCTACTGTTCTTCTCTTTCATATTCTTTCTTTTCCTTTACCTCCCTGGTTCCTCTTCATTATCCTGGTTCCTGTAGTTATGTCTAGATACATACTCACAAGGATTTGGTACTAGGATCCACATATGAAGGAAAACATACATCATTTTTTTCCTGAGTCTGTGTTACTTCACTTAGTATAACAGTTTCTAGTTCCATCCATTTACCTGCAAATTTCATGATTTCATCTTTCTTTACTGCTGAGTAAAACTCCATTGTATAAATGAACCACATTTTCATTATCCACTCGTCAATTGAGGGACACTTAGATTGCTTCCATCTCTTAGCTGTTGTGAAAAGAGCAACGACAAACATGGATGTACAAGTGTCTCTGCAATAGGATGAATTCCTTGGATATATGCCAAGGAGTAGTATAACTGGGTCAAATGATAGGTTCATTTGTAGTTTTTTAAGAGCTCTCCACACTGCTTTCCATAGGGGTTGAACAAGCTTGAACAAGGGGGTTAAACAAGTCCCACCAGCAGTAGATGAGCATTCCCCTTTCCCCACATCCTCTCCAAAATTTGGTATCATTTGTTCTCTTGATCTTAGTCAATCTGACTTGGGTAAGATGAAATCTTAAAGTAGTATTAATTTGCATGTCCCTAATTTCTAATATTGTTGAACAACTTTTAAGATTCTTTGTAGCCATCTTTATTTCTTCTCTTGAGAACACTCTGTTCACCTC